TATCGTTCTCCACATCACAAATGCAGACTTCTGTGCGACGATGCAGTGCAACTGTGCCTTCTCCCTTAAGCTGAGCCACTTTGAGCTCCAAAGAATTCTTCCTAGCAGGTGTTTTTTATACAAAACTCTAAGGTGAAGGGGGGGCCTGGGGTGTGGTGTCTTTTGGTTTTCTCCCTCTCACCTGCTCCTCTGATTGTCCATGAGCTTTGCCCTCCCTCTTTCCCTCTGTGTGAAGTGGCCACTTGAGGAAATCTGCCTTCCAGAGGAAAGAGGCTGTTTATCTCCAGACCTGGGTGAGGGCCCCCTAATGCTTTCTCACCCACTGAAAGACAGAGAGGTGGATGGAGTGGCAGGAGGGAAGACCTTTTTTTTTCTTCTTCTTCTTTTAGATCAAGTGGTGATGTGTTAGGGCAAGGCACTGTGGGGGAAGATAGAGCCTCACTGTTTAAACTATGCAAAAAACAAAAACAAAAACAAAAAGCAGCTTGCCTTACATCTGTGGGGAAGGCAGGCCCTCTCTCAGACTCCTGGGAGTCTGGGAGTCCTGGGAACTGGGAGGGAGGCCAAGGTTAGCCTGAGACCCTCATAGCCTCTGAGGGTGAGCAGTGGATTTGGGGGTGGCCCCATTCAGATCCCAGTGAGGCCTGCATTCTGTAAGCTGGCCCACTGGATTATTGGCTTTCTTGGGGACCTCTGTGGGGTGGGGTGGGGTGGGTGGGACTGTGGTCTTTTATTGTCCTGGTGACTTGACATTCTTTCCTGCCCCTCCAGCCACCTGCCAGGTTCCACAGTTGTAATTTCTCTGTGAGAAAGTATGAACAGGCCAGGCCACTGGTAACCACTCCGTCCACCATGGTGCCATCTTGGTCCTCCATTGTCCCTCCTTCTGGCTAGAAAATAGCCTTGTGAGGGAAGAGGAGAAAGGTGGTAAGGCTCCTGGCAGGCTAGCGGTAGCAGGAGCAGAAGCCCCAAGTAGGGACCATTATCATTCTTGTATCTAGGCTTTTCCAGACCCACTTGATTAAACTCTTGGGGAGTCACTCTGAGCCAGTGTTTCCCCAAGACGCCAATGGGTCTGAATTAAGGGGCCATAAGATAGACCATCCATCTAGTCTCAGCTAGGAGCTCGCCTAGCAATCAGGTTTTATTTTTATTTTATTTGTTCTTATTTTTGTGTCCACTTGAGTGGTTTTGATGGCCTGTTGTTTTTGTTGACCCAGAAGCTCCCTCTGGAGGTCAAAGGAACAAAATGTACCCAAGGACCAGAACCCATGGGCCCTCTGAGGCCTGTGTGTTGAAGGGCAGGGGACTCTGGGCTGGAGCCATGGTGGTACCCCGATTGTCCCCTGCATCCTTGTATCCTCTCTCTGTGAGTGGCCCCATCTGTTTTGCATTTAGAACTGGTGTATATAATAGGCAAATGTATGTATAGAGAAGAGAGAGAATGTATTTGTTGCTATTTCTTTATATAATTTATCAGAATTTGGTGGCCTTTCTCATGTGTGTTTTCCATGATGGGGTGGGGCACATCCCACTGGTCCCTGTGCAGCCTGCTGCAAGGGTTCGTTCGTTTATCATCTCTTGGTGACCAGCCAGTCCCTACTGGCAGGGACTTGGGGGGGCAGTCTGGAGGGACAGTGGTTTGGAAGAGACACAGCCCCTCCCCTCACTCCCTTTCCCACAGCCATTCTTTTAAAGGTTACAGGGTTCATTTGTTTCTGGTTATTATTATTATTGTTATTGATATTATTGCTTTGTTTTTATTTTAACCAAAGGGTATCAGAGCCAGATGGGCCTGGACCTTAGCTGCTTGTAAAAATTTCCGTTTCCATGAGGGCAGGAAGGTGGCTGCCCCATGGGTCTCCTTGGCTGAGGCTGGGGAAGGTGTCCATCCAGTGGTAGAGGCTGCGATTCGGGCAGGCAGAATAGAAGCTGCCCTTGCTGTTCTTCAAGGTGGTGGTGTAGTAGTGACACATATCTCTAGAGTTAAGACAGTAAGCTACAGTATAAACCCTGGAAGCTGGTGTCCTGCGGTGTTATTTTTTGCTTTCCCAACTGTATACATAGGTCATTTGTCTAGGTGTATGAGAAAGTCTGGCTCCAGTGTGTTCCTCCCTGCTGGCTTTCAAAGTCTGCTTTCCCCTGGGGAGTGAGGCTCTGAGACAGGAGGATGATGGGAGAACACAGGAGTGGCGGGCATGTCTCCTGGGCTGGTTCTGGGGTCTGAGCCTGGCCTCCTCTCTTTTTTTTCAGTTTGTTGCCAGTGGGCCCTGCTTGTCCCCTCACTGTGAGCCCACAGCTTGCCAAGAAAGACCCCCACCGCTCACTGGGGCAGCGCCTGCCTACTTGTCCATCCTTGTAAACATGTACATACTTCTTTTTGAATTTTCTATTTCTGAGCCCGGTGTCATATTGACACTGGTGTTTCAGGGCTTCTCAGATGGGCTCTCCGTGTTGCCCTTGGTCATGCTCCTACTTTGGGGGCCACATACATAGGTGCAGCAGGGAATCAGCAGCATACTTTCAGGTCCCTGGTTGGTTGTGTGAGACACACACACACACACACACACTCACACACATTCACACACGCTCACACTCCTCTAAGACTCCAAAGGAGAACCACTGGGAAGCGGTTTTGTTTCCCTGTAGCAGTGTGTCTGGAAGGCCTGTCCACTTTGGACTCTGCTCTGGGGGTGGAGCTCAGATGACCTATGGAGAATCAAACCACTTTGACTTTGGGATGGGAGATGGGGCGGGCTAAGGGATAACTTAAGCTAAAGGTATTCTATTTATAAAGCAAGAGACTCTATTTTTATGAAAGGAATAGGTTTTTAATGTAGGATAGGCCGTTGTGGTGGCCCAGCATTTTGCTGTGGATGAGATAACCACCATGTTTGTTGACTCGGGGTGTATAGCAATCAGTACCCCCCTTTCCTCACCTTGTCTTCTGTCTTCACTGCACATAGCTGGGGTGGAAGTGGCTTCCTTCTTTCCTCAACCCTCAGCTCCTTGGAAGCCTTGGGAGAGAGCAGAGGGGGGCTGGGAGGATGGGGAGGGGCGGACAGGCAAGTGGACGGCAGGAAACCGAGGTGGGGGAGGGGATGCTTCAGAGGTAGGGTTCTAATTAGTTTTCCCAGCTGCTCTTTGTTCCCACTCAGCTGTGTGGAGTTGGGAAACTCTGTGGGCTTGGGGAACACAGGACTTCTTCCGGGGCTGGGGCTTACTGTGTCTGAAGTTGCCCTGCAGCTGGAGTGGGTACAGAGGGGACCCAGGATGCTCAGAGCTCAGCCCTGACTGTGTGTACTCCAAGGTCCTGCTTGCAGTCTTTGTTCCCTGGATGAAGGAGCAGGGCTCTGAGGATTGCCTCGACCTGGATCCTCCCTCTGGGGCCCTAAACTTGGCTTTTGAAGGGTAACTCCCTACAGGGAAGAGTGAGGAGGGGTCTGAGCAAAGACATTCGCTCTCTCTGGGAGGGGATTTTCCCTGGTTGAAGATTTCCAGGCTCAGTGTGGGCTGCGTGTGAGTCTTAGGCCAACCCCTCACTTTTCCAGTTCCCTCCCAAGCTCTCAAAGAACTGTGGTGAACTCCCCACAACGCCCCCTTTACGCACAGTGTAGCATCCACCTGGTTTTTAGTCCCACCCTACCCCACGGTTGCTGTGTCTGTCAGCTGGGTCTAAAATCACCGGGAGGGGTTTGTACTCAACTAAAAGACTACTGACCCTACCAGAAAACCAACCTGTTTACTGTACTGTTGTAAATACCGTGCCCTTTATATCCTGTATATTGGCTTCTTTTAAATAAAGTAAAAATGTCTTAGAATGATGGTGTGTGTTTCTTTTTGTCATGGTGATTGTGGGAGGGGTCAGAAGACTAAAGCAAACACATTAACCAATCAGCGATAAGATCGGGGAACTCCTACCTATTTGCAGAAGGAGGTAAGGCAGGACTTGACCGTAGAGTTCCAGGCTAATTGGCACTGTCCGGTCTGAAGTTGAGGTTCTACCAGCTACAAAGCCCCCATTCCACAAGCCTCACCAGAGTGTCTACAAGAAGCACCCGCTGGGCTTTGAATTCGATACGGTCCACTGTTCTACTGACTTTAATGGTCACGTTCAAAAGTGATGTCACTCCAATGTGACCTGTCTTTCCCAGGGATGAAGGGGAACTCTACTCCCTCATATTTATGCAGTGCCCTTTTCCAACGTTCTTGGCTCAGATCTCCAAGCCTGTCCCAAATGGTGTAACTGGGAGAAAAAGGAGAAGCCCCGGGGGACAGGGGTGTTCGAGGTGGCCATTATCATCCAGTTCTACAGAAGAAGAAACTGAGGCCCAGAGGGGCTGTATTGAACAGTTTTTATGTCAACTTGATGCAAGCAAAAGGCATTTGAAAGGAGGGAACCAAAATAGAGAAAATTCCTCCAAAAAGATAGGGCTGTGGGCAAGCCTGTAGGTCATTTTCTTAATTGATGGAGGTGGGCCCAGCCCATTCTGGGTGGTGCCGTCCCTGAGCTGGTGGTCCTGGGTTCTGTAAGAGAGCAGGCTGAGCAAGCCAATAAGCAGCTCCCTTCCATGGCCTTTGTATCAGCTCCTTCTTCCAGGATCCTACCCTGACTTCCTTTGATGATGAACCAAATAAACCATTTCCTCCCCAACTTGCTTTTGGTCATGGTGTGTCATCACAGTGATAATAACCCTAACAAAGTCAGAGGCTAACCTGTCCAGTATGGTATCAAACTAGAATCGGATAGAAGTGACCTTACAGTAAATGCCCTTGTCTCAGTGCCAGAGACATAGAAAATACATCATTTATTTATTTATTTGGTTTTTCGAGACAGGGTTTCTCTGTGTAGTTTTGGAATCTATCCTGGCACTCACTCTGGAGACCAGGCTGGCCTCAAACTCACAGAGATCTGCCTGCCTGAGCC